CTGCGGCCGCAGACCTGGACTGGTTCAGTGTCAGCCCCGAGGGAACGACAAGTCCAACAACTACGGGCCCTAAAGCAGAGTAAGCGCTGAACGTTTCTCGCTTCGATATGTCTCATCCTCAGTGTTCCGGAGACTGCTGAAGATTCCCCGAGTGGCAGCACCTGTGCGGCTAGCAGGGGGTGGCCAGCAGAGCTCGTTGGCGTTCTCATCGCGATCAGTCTGCTTGGACTGATCGCCAGCAGCGTGCAACTCTACCTTCTGAAGAAGATCGTGAACAAGACGCTGGTACCGGAGGAGGTCGACGTCGAGCTAGGGAGCAGGTAGAGGGACACTGACACTCGAAAGCTCGGAATCTGAATTATCTATCACAAAATATAAACTGATCGTTCACTATATGCATTCAGATACAGGATCCGAGAAGAGACAGAGACATCGGTGAAAGAGGTTGAGGTCAGCCCCTAACTGTCACAGTATAGCTTAGCATGGTCACATTATCATGCATGAACAATGGATTGATGTTGTACAGCACATGTTCCTTGTTTCTTCATCAAGTGCTCAAGTGTGGGACGGTTTTGTCGCAGCTCGTGTGAGGCCTGACATATATAACATATATATAGCGATGAGTAATATAGAGTACTACTCTTCCACCGCTCAAGGGAACCTTCAACGGAGCAAAATAGCTCGGCTACGGAATGATGCGTTAGCTCACCCGCGCGGAACCTTCCCGTTTCCGTTTCCGCAGCAACAGCGCCAACTTGTGCCTCCTCACCATTTTGGAAATTCCTTTACTCCACCTTCTCGGCACCGGAGAGTCGGCAATGAGACATTACCAGTGATATTTTGAGCATCATGGTCGACGGGAGCATTTGATTGCAACACTGAATCATTTTGAAATAGAGTCGCATGGCAGAATTGAACTTCATTCATACTGGTTCACGTGCAGGACTGGGCACCATGTGTACCGTAGTAGGCCACATACTTGAAGAGGTAATCACTCGGAACTGAGATTCTCAGTCTGAGAATATCTCATACTGGGAACTTGGGAGCGGGTCCAAAGGTATCAATCAATCCGAGCGGAGTAGCATTGAACAGCGAAGCTAAATGCTTGCTCATCGTTTCCATTCGGCCCAAGGCAGCATCCAAGTATATGCAATGCAATGCCAAGCATAATGCAAGTCTCGCAACGATTGCGAGATCCGAAGCTTGGACGTTCCCTCGCGCCACAGATCCCCCTCTGTGTTCGTTGAGGCCCTCAACTTGAGGGTGCCGTCGTAGCTTTAATACAACTTGAACTCCGTACCATACAAACAGTAAAAAGGACTCCTTTTTACTGTTTGTATGGTACGGAGGCACTCTCCTTTTAAAGGAGCGTTACTGAAGCACTGTGGAACCCGAAATGTGGACCAGAGGCTGACCACTCTAGCCTTCTTCGCACGGGGTTTGGCGCTCCCCATCACCAGAGTTCAGATACAAGTGCTCAGGGATTCTCCTTGTAAGCCACTGTGACTCAATACACATTGCTCAGTTATTGAAATCATCCATGGCAAACTACACTCAAAGAGATAAATAAGACGTAGTAACCATTATTGTACCTGCCGGAACAGTTCCGGGACTACTCACTCGTCCAAGGGTCCGACTCTCCTTCGATAGCGATGGAGACATGTCGATCGGTATGGAAATTGAGCATCGTGCGCCTTGGAACCTTGACAGCACTTATCGACTACGACTTGCACGAAACATGCATTGTTGGTCGTTGAAGCAAGGATGACGGTCGCATGGGCTGGCATATGACTTAGGTCATCATTACTGCTCACTTCTTGTAGTTATACTTACAATTTACTATGCAAATGGTCGCAAGTATCTTCATCATGGCTGCCCTTGCATCCGGCGAGCTTGATTGGAGCAAGATTACTCTCGAGCCCACAACGACTCCCATACCAACTGCAACTGGCAGCCTGGACCTGTCCGGCATCATCCTTGACGGTCCAGGCACCACGTCAGCCGCAGTTGGCATCGACTTGTCAGGCTACACCCTCGAGCCGCCGGAGAGTGATACTCCTGCCGCAGGAGTCCTGCGGCCGCAGATCTGGACTGGTCCAGTGTCAGCCCCGAGGGAACGACAAGTCCGACAACTATGGCTCCTGAGTCAGAGTAAGAGTGGATGCCCTCGCTTCGCCTTCATTTGTCTTATCCTCAGAGCTGCGGAGAATGTCGAAGATCTCCCAACGGGCAATGCCTGTATGGCTAGCGCAGGGTGGCCAGCAGAGCTAGTTGGGGTTCTCATCGCGATCAGCCTACTTGGGTTGATCGCAAACTGCGTGCAACTCCACCTCCTAAAGAAGGTCATGAACAGGACGCTGGTTGGGGAGGAGGGCGACATCGAGATGGGAGACAGGTAGAGGGACATTCGAAAGCTTGAAATCTGAATTATCTATCATCATCACTATAAACTGGCTGTTTACTGTATGCATTCAGATACCGGACCCAAAAAGGGGCAGAGGAATCGGTGGAGGTTGGGGACGACTTTTAACTGTTACATTTTAGCATGTTTACATTATCATGCGTGAACAATAGATTGATGTTGTACAACACATGTATCTTGTTTCTTCATCAAGTACTCAAGTGTGGGGCAATCAGGTCGCAGCTCGTACAATGAATCTCTTACAAGAAGCGTCCGATCTACAGTTCATGGCGTACTGGCCTCGATCATCAATTATTCGTCAACAGACCATGGCATATATAACATAAATATAGCGATTAGTCCTATAGAGTACTTCTCTTATACCGAACAAGTGAACCCTCTATGAAACAAAGTTCTTCAACTCCGGAATGATTCGTCATCTCACTCGCGAGGAATCTTTCCGTTTCCGTAGCAGCAGCGCCGGCGCACGGCTCGTCACCATCTCGGGAACATCTATACTCTGCCTGCGTAGCATCATCGACTCTTTTGCTCTATCAGAACTATTGCCAACTCGTTGCTACCGAGTTGGTAGTATCGAGTCGGCAATAGCTCTGATAGAGCTCATCGAGAACTCATCGTGCGTACTTGAGCTCAACGGTGAAATTTTACTGAAACTTTCATCCAATTTGATGGGGTGTGGTATGCAACCAATAATGTGTATCATGGGAATCGAACTAGGGACCTATTCATGGTCTCAGTCGCGTATGGAGCCCAATGGCTGAGGCCGCCAAAGATGAGCAGCCTCTCGACCTAGCGGTGGTCATACGTCTTGGTACTCATCGTGGAGGTTTTCGATGCCCCTCATGGAAAGGAAGGGCATCGAGATAAGCATCTGAGCGGGTTGAAGGATAGGTCACATTCGGATCTCGAGGCCAGTGCCTTTGTTTGGATTTTCGGTTATTCTGGGGCCCTGGGCAAACCAGGGGCCGTGGGCCTCTACTCAAGGAGTAATCATGTCGCCACTAAGAGACCATGGGCTCTCCCGGGAGGCCAGTAAACTTGGACCCCAGGGCGATTGCCCAATTCGCCCACCCCTGTGTGCGGCACTGCTCGAGACCATCGATCTCAACTTAGACCTTGGCCACTCGAGGCTCTACTATGGGTTATCCAACTGATGGCTGAGTGGCTCGGAAAGTGGTCCGTTGGCCAAGACTGATACAACTGAGCTCTCTCAATCTACTGTGACAATGAATGTCATCATCAGGCCTGTCCCTGATATGACTATTCCGACCAGGGTCAGATCTTTCTGAATCGACGGCACTTGCGGTCGGGCATGATGATGAGCATTCTTGGTGAGATCGGCCATTGTTTACCGACAGGACTCTACACGCGAGCATTTGCTCCTGGAGTTGTCGATAGCTCGGATCGAACCTGTGTGCTAGCTTGTCTGTCTCCTGTGGTCTGGTTATCTCCTCGTGTGATACGTCCTCTCGAGCTGATCAAGTGCAGGACGATCGCGAGAGGCTGTGACTCGAAGCCCGTGCTTTCACACGACACTAGGCTTCCAACACCAACCGGTTATTGTGTTACGAGGGGCTCGATAGATCACACGTGGTAGTCGCCTTGAGAGTAGTTGTTTGTTATTGTCTATAACCATTATGCCTAGTAGTACGTCGACCATCACTACCTCGACCAGCGAAGAAGAGCTTCTGGTAGGAGTCCTGGTCGTCGGTTCCACTTGCATGTGTTGTTGCTCGTAGGCTCCTTACGGTGTGTCTGAGCCGGTGGTCATCAATACGATACAGGAGAAGATGGAAATCATCATCTACTTCAAGGAGAAGCTCATGACTTTCCAAAGGAAAAGCACGGACGATGTGGATCAGGTGGGCTCCTGCGAAGGGTAGTCGTCGATTATGCGTAGTATCATTCATCTACTTCATAGTATACTTATTATCAGCAATATGAAAATGGATTTTCACCCGTGATATAGAAATTACTAGTGAAGAACACATTTCACAGTCCACTTGGCGAAAAACGCATGTGAGCAGTGAATAGCGCGTAAAACACGTAGTATGTGTTTTACGTAATATGGGATGATTTGTCCGTTGTAACTCGCGCAGTGTTTTCAATTCACTCCATATCGCGTTTTTCACATGGAGTATCGTTCGCCCACTTCACGTAAAAGGATGAAACTCCAATGTATATATGTAGTTAGCTATAATTATAGTATATAAAGTTACCGAACTTTCTTGACTTTATCGAACTTTCTGCCGTGTAACACACTATCTACCGGTTCATACTGCAGGCTCAGACAGCAGTGACTGAGCCTGCAGCTATACCTCGATACTGGCTATTACTCGCCTGGTCGAAGGGGTGCTGCGCAAGAAGTCTATAAAGGTTACTATGGATTCATATACAGTACTTTATGGGGCTATATTAACGATGTTAATACTAATTACTATTAGCGTGTCTTAATGAATACAGCTCATTTCTGTACTGTTAGTTTAACAGTGGAGTTTCACCCGTTTCACGTGAAGTGGCGTGAAACTCGGTGAAAAAGGCGATATTCGCGCTATGCAGTAGTCGTGAAACATGTTATTGACTAGTGTTTTTCATATCACTAGGGTGGTGAAACTCCAGTTATTAAGGATATTAGGAGTATATAGTATTAATATAGTCCATACAATGTGGTGTGTAGGTGTTGAAACGGATGCGACTGAGCATGGAAAAGAATTTGAATAAAAAGAAGAAGAAACAACAGCAAAAGGCTGCGGCTGCGGTGGAGGTAGTGGCAAGTTTTGGGCATGTTCTGTATCTTTGTTGGTCGACCTAAGATTCACATTAAGTTCATGGGCGAGCAGGGACGGCAATTGGCGTCTTCTGATGAGCCTACCCGAGATGGAGAAGGGAAGTCGCTCACTTTGGGCGGCGTTGTTGCTGATACGACGGAAGTGTGTATAAACGGTCAGGTGAAAATTATTCCGTGGGCGGAACGATTATCAACTTTTCATTATCAGATTTTCCCCGTGGCCCACAACATTCCCATGGTGGAGTCGATTGCACTGAAATTTTATGTATTTGCCCGATATCCGGTATTCCCCCAAATTGAATGCAGCAACGTCGACTCGGACGAGCTGGTCTATGAGTATTATGATGATAAAAACGGCAAGCTGCTTCACACTGGGAAGATATTTTTCCCCTCTGATGAGCTGATCGGCGAGAAGCTGAAGGTTGTGGCTTACCACAGCGAGTGGCCACACACGTCTCGAAAGGAGTCTATCTCGAGCCGATCAGTACTGCCGTCACCGAGTATTGGCACCTTTAGAGATCGCCGTTTGCCTGAAGCATTGGAATCTACTGATTCTACTCATCTGAGAGTGGCCAGTTTTAACGTTCTTGGCCAGCGACATATTCGTACCCCCTTGGAGCCTATATTCTACCATGTGCGCGACTGCAAGGAAGTGGTAGAGTTCGAGTACCGCGCGCCGTTGATATTGAGGGAGTTGTTCGACGTGAATGCGGACATTGTAGCCTTCCAAGAAGCTGATGCTCGGTTCATAGATACGGCGAGTGGCGCTCTGTCGTCGGAGTATACCTTTTGGTTGGCCGAGGATAAGGGTCGGGAAAGTGAGGGGAATAAAGGGCGTCGTGGTGAAGGATGCGGCCTTGCCTTTAAGAAGGCTCGCTTTGTGAAGATAGGACAGAAGATGCTCGAACTTGGCACGGATGGTTTGCTGCAGGAGTTCACTCCTGAGGAGATCGCTATGCTCAAGGAGCGATGGGCTGGGGTTGATATTTTCAAGGATGTTTTTGACAACCTCGGTATGATTGGCCAACTACTCACGTTGAAGGATAAGGCCACTTCCAAGTTGTATATTGCGGTGAATACTCATCTTTATCACAGTCCTAAGGCGCCCCATGTGAAGATTTTGCAGACGCATATGATCATGAAGGCACTTGAACGACTG